GAGCCGTTGCGCCGAGCGAAGCCAGAGCTGAGGACAAGCTCGAGGCGACTTCAGGGGCGATGGCGGTGTTGGAGGCAAGCGACGAGATGGCCGATGCCAAGGCAGACGAAGCATCGGCCGGCAGGGCCGAAGTGAGAGCGTCTTGCTGCTGAAGACTGGTAGCCTGCGAGAGCAACGAGGAGATTTGGGATTGGGCGGCTTGGATGTCCGTCGTGCTGGGCAAGGCCGACGTGAGGTCTTGCAGCGAGCTCACAATTTCGGAGAGGACCGGGTCGATCGGCAGCGCAGTTTGCGCAGGTGCACGCGTGATGCTCTGCGCTTGGCTGATGAGGCTTGCCAGAGTCGACTGGACCGCTGCGGCGTCGGTGGGAGCCGCAGTAGCCAAAGAGGCCAGAGAGCTCAAGACGTCGCCGGGGATTTGGCTCTGCAGCGCATCTGCCGAGCTAATAAGGCTTGCCAATGTCGATTGCGCGCCTTGGATGTCGGTGGCTGTGGGCAAGGCCGAAGTCAAGGACGCAATCGAGCCAAGCACTGAGCTCAGGGCGTCGCTTGGAGCGCTTGTGGCAGCGGAGTCGAGGAGAGAAGTGGCGCTGGCGAGCAAGTCGCTCACTGCAGACTGAGCGGGCAGGTCCGTAGCCGTTGCCAAACCAGCGAGGGAGCTGATGACCTGCGACAACGCGTCAGGGACTGCGGTCGTCGCCTGCTGTTGCTGCTGGATGAGTGAGCTGATCACGGAGCTGAGGGCAGGTGCATCGCTGGTCAAGGGCAAGTTGGGCACAGCCGAAGTGAGTCGATCGATGACATCGCTAACGAGGGGAGCAACCGTCTGCGTGGCCTGTGCAGGGACGTCGCTGGCGGCCGAGCCAAGAACGGAGGCAATGATGTCCGAAACCGTAGTCGGAAGGGAAGACGCGACGCTGCTGAGCATCGACGCTGCCTGGCTGAGGATGCCGGGAGTCGAAGGCGTTGCAAGTGCACTTGAGGCGTCGTCCAAAAGAGACGACAGAGCGGGATTGCCAGCTGCGAGCGAGCTGAGTGCGGGATCCATCGTTTGCGTAGGGAGTGCAGCCGAAGACAAGAGGCCCGCTGCATCGCTGACCATGCTGGACAGGGCAGGGTTGCCTGCGAGGACCGAGCTCAATGCGGGATCAAGCTGGACCGAGCTCGTTGCGACGGGCAGCTGCCCGATGACTTGGCTGGCCAGAGACGGGTCGAGCGAAGCCTGCGAAACCAATGCCCCCTCGATCGACGACAACAAGCTGGGGGACACGGGGACGGACGTCGCCTGAGCATCTCCAAGGATCGAGGAGATGATCTCGCCCACCTGCGAAGCCTGTGCGGCAGCCTGCGTGTTCTGAGCCACGACAGAGCTAGCCACTTGTGCGGCGCTCGATAGAATGGCGGCAGGGGCGGTGGGGTCCGCGGTCGCCGTGACAGCGGCAGCGAGGGAAGAAGCAAGCTGCGGGGGCAGGTCGCTGTTGGCCAGAATGTCGCTCGCGAGGCTCGATAGAGCGTCCTGGGGCAGCGCGGTGGTCTGGCCAAGCTGGCTCGCCAAGCTAGACAGGACATCGGCGGGCGCGGCGGGCGCTGCAGTTGCAGCAGGCGCTGCAGTGATTGCCGCAGCCAAGGAAGAGGCCACGCTTGATGGCAGGCTCGGGTCATTGAGGATGTCGCTTGCGATGCTTGAGAGAGCTTGAGGAGGCGCATACGTCTGCGTCATGGCGTCTTGCAGGGAGGACGCCACCTGCGTGAGGCCCAGATCGCTGAGACTGTTCAAGATACCCGTAGCTTGCGGTGCATTCTGCGTGATGGCGGCGGCGAGAGACGAGGCTGCCTCGGTGGGAAGGCCAAGTTGGCTGGCCAGACTGGTCATATCGAGGGAAGCGGTGGTCGCAGCGCCCTGAATTTGGCTTGCAATGCTGCTCAAGATGGCATCAGGCACCTGAGACGAGGCTGCGGCGATCTCGCTCAAGATGGACTCGATGGCAGGAGCTGCCGTTTGTGTTGGCTGACCGGCGCTCAGCTGCGAGAGGATAGACGAAAGACCATCGAGTGGTAGAGAAGTTGCAGCCTGCGGTGCTGTGGCAGGCAAGCCAAGGGCCGAAGAGAGTGACGAGCCGAGCGAAGACGTCATGGCGTCGAACCACGAGGAGAGACCCGATGGTGACGGCGCGGCCGTGGCAACGCTCTCAATCTGGGAAAGGAGAGACGAGACGACCTGCTGCGGGATGGCCGTGTCCGTCTGGATGCTCGACGCCAGGGCAGACAAGGCAGAGCTGAGGGGCGCCTGCGTGTTCACGCTAGGGCTGCCGCTCAGAATGCTCTCGATGAGCGAAGAGAGCTGAGCAGCGTCCGAGGGAACAGGGATGGGAGCTGCCGTGACTTGCGGTAAGACTGACGTGCCGGCATTGAGTTGCGAAGAGATTGAGGAGGCGAGCGCATCTGGGATTGCCGTGTTTGATTCCAGGCTGTCCAAGAAGGACGAGACTGCAGAAGGGCCAGGAGCTGCGCCGACCTCGCTGAGCTGAGAGGCGAGAGACTGCGGCAGGGCGGAGTTGCTCAGTATGCCATCGATGACCGAAGAGAGCTGAGAGGGCGCCGTGGTGGGTACGGCGCCGATCTGAGAAAGGAGTGAGGAGAGAGCAATGGAAGGGTCTCCAAGCTGCGATGCTACGCCTGAGGGCAGATTGTTGCTGTCCAAGATTGACGAGAGAAGCGACTGAGCGTTGGGCGATACGGTGGGCGTTGGCTGCATGAGGCTGGAGAGGAGCGACGAGAGCTGTGGGGCACCAGTCGGCAAATTGGCGTCCGTTGTCGCGAGGAGGCTGCTGATCAAGGATTGAGCGTCGTCACCACCTGCAATCTGTGAGGCGATTGATGAAGCAACGCCGGCCGGAAGGTCGCTGTTGGAGCCGACTTCCTGAGCGATGGAGGTGAGGGCACCAGGCAGGCTAGCTGTAGGTAGAGATGCCGCCTCACTGAGGCGAGAGGCAATCGACGAGGCCAGCGAAATGGGAAGGCCAGGATCGGCGCTGAGCGAAGCTGAAAGCGAAAGCGTGGCCTGCGGCGCAATCTCGCTGAGTCTCGAGGCCAAAGACGAAGCGAGCGACTGAGGCAGATCAGTCCCAGAGAGGAGGGACTGAGCCAGAGACGAGAGGTCGCTGCCCAGGTTGGATGGAGCTGAGGTCGGTGCCGGGCTCGCGTCGCCCAGTACCGAGGAGATCTGGGCCGCCAAAGACGAGGCTGCTGAGGGCGCCAAGTTGGACTGATTAACGATTTCGCTCAACAGCGAAGACGCTTGAGGGGCCAACTCAGTCGCGCTTGGTGCGGCGAGCGCCGACGTGAGCTCCTGAGCCAAAGACGAGGCGAACGACGCGGGGATCTCGGTGTTGGACATCAGTTGCGAAACGAACGACTCGATGCCGGCCGAAGGGAGGGCAGTGGGCACCGCGGTGATCTGAGGAAGCTCGGTAAGAGCCTGCGACAGTGACTGCGGGAGGTCATTGTTCTGTGCAATCGAGGAGAGCTGTTGCGCCACGGATTGAGGTAGGCTAGATTGCGCTGCGATGGACGAAAGCTGGCTCTGCACGGCCTGCGGGAGGTCAGTGTTGGCTGCGAGCGAAGAGATTTGCTGTTGCACGGCCGTGGCAGGGGCGGCTGCGATGGAGCTGAGCTGCTCAGCGAGTGACGAAGCGACGTTGTCCGGCACAGCGGTGTCTGAGACGAGCTGCGAAGCGAGAGACTCGATGACCTGCGTTGGGACGGCGGTTGGTACTGGGCCGATTGCTGAGCTCAGTTGCTGAGCGAGCGAGGATGCCACATCGCTTGGTACCGCCGTGTTCGAAAGGAGCTCAGAGGCCAGAGACTGAATGATCTGAGTCGGGGCAGCAGTCGGCAAACCTTGCGGCGGAGAGATTGCTGAAGTGAGCTGCTCGGCAAGGGATGAGGCGACGCCGTCCGGGAAGGCTGTGTTGGACAGTATTTGGGAAGCCAGCGACTCGATGACTTGCGTTGGAGCAGCGGTTGCCGCCGGAGCGATTGCTGAGCTAAGCTGTTGGGCAAGGGAGGATGCAACGTCGCTAGGGACCGCGGTGTTCGAGAGAAGCTGAGACGCGAGAGACTCGATGACTTGGGTTGGCGCGGCAGTGGGCAGGGCTTGCGATGGAGGGATGGCCTCAGTGAGCTCTTGAGCGAGCGAAGAAGCGACTTCGCTGGGAATGTTCGTGTTGGACAGCAATTGAGATGCAAGTGATCCAACAACCTGAGCTGGCTGCGTCGGTGCCGCGGTGGGCAGCGCATCGCTGAGTTCCTGGGCCAGTGAAGACGCTACATTGGCAGGGATGGCCGTGTTGGACAGCAACTGAGAGGCCAGTGACTGAAGGGCCTGAGTCGGCGCAGCGGTGGGCAGCGCATTTGTGAGGTCCTGAGCCAGAGACGACGCAACATCGCTGGGCAGCGCCGTGTTGGACAAGATGCCTGAAGCGAGCGACTGCAACACCTGAGTCGCCTGCGTTGGCGCAGCGGTGGGAAGCGCACCACTCAGCTGCTGGGCAAGGGAAGAAGCGGCATCGCTGGGGATGGCGGTGTTGGAAAGAATCTGTGAGGCAAGCGATTCGATAACCCGTGCAGGCTGCGTTGGTGTGATCGTGGGCAAGGCGTTGCTGAGCTGTTGAGCGAGCGAAGAGGCGACACCGCTCGGGATGGCCGTGTT